AATATTTCCATAGAAACCTTCATATTATCCCCAAAAAGCCTCTCAGTACATAGTGAATGGGTGGTGCACTCTATATTTTAAAATTTTTACATCTTGCCTTAGCCATAGTCAAATGAACAGTTTTCTAGTATCATATTGTTTGGATGACTACATACATATGAAACAATAATGTACTAGGATTTGTCATACATAAAAAAAGGACAATATATGATTCCAAAGGTTGCAACTGAGCAGCCTTAACCAGTTTATGAATTTTGATATCACAGCAGGGATACAGAGGATTACATTGATATACGACGCTTCATGGGCTAGGTGTTGTGTGTGTGTGTGTACCATGGTGGACATGGTAAAAGGTCAGGCCGTGGCAGGTGTTTGTTATGTGTGCACACCAAGAGCCTCAGCTGCTGCTGGACATCGAGAGGCTGCCTGGCAGGTCAGAGTCTCAGCAGGGTCAGCCGGCTTTTTATAGGACCAGTCGTTTAAAGACAGAAAGATGGAGAGGGCAGCTTCACAGGGCCTCTGATCAGCAATTATATAAACACGGCATGCAACATGGGAGCAGATAGCCTCAGCTGCACTGTGGCCGAGCATTTGGAGTTCCCCTACTCATCGGAGAATAAGACCCACATACTGGAGGGCTCAGCTGTGTTTATAAAGTAAACAGATCTGGAGTCTGATGGTTGGAGAGATGAGAAGGTTACTGGTTTAAATCCTCCTGACTGGGGCCAGAAATGTATATATGGGAAAAGTCAACAGAGGAGAGTCATCATGTGGCCTATTATATACCTCTTTTATCAGTAGAAGACCCCTAAAAGAGCTGATTGAGATAATATTTCATGCCAAGTTTTACCAATTTGAGGTTTTTGTTAACTCTGTCAAGGAGGTGATGTGTTTGTCTGCGTTTGTTTATTAGCAGGATTACACAAAAAGTACTGAAATGATTTCCCTGACATTTTGTGGAGGGATGGGGCATAACCCAAAGAGGAATCCATAAAATATTGGTTATAAGCAGGTGCAGTTTGGTGCAGATATGGATCAAATGAATTTAAATGTAGCTTCATAAGGAGACTATTTATTTTACAGTTCCGTGTTTGTTTTTTTATAGCACTTGTCGCCATATGTCTGTCAGGAACAACTTGTCAAGAGTTTTGTTTGTGACTGAAATCTGTCAGACGGATGAGATAATTATGACTGCCCAGTTTAATTCAGGAAAGCAAACCATAAACAGAATGAACCCATGTAACTCAGCACTCATGCATGACTTTTCAGAACAATTGAGTTACCACTTTAATGGTGCTTAATATCTGAATATTAAAGGATTGTAGCGATCGAGACTTGTATTATTAGATTTTAAATCATGGCATTTTAGAATTAAAGTTTGATTCATGTAATAGCGTCGTCCATACCGGGCATGTTTGATTTTTTAATAAGAAATATGTGGTGCAGATTATGAAACACAGACAGGGCAGGTGAGCAGCAGGTGGAATACAACACACCCACGGTTGGTACAGTGACAGAGGAGTGTCAAGACAAGTGTCTACACGTTATCTGACTGCCTGGACTTTAACCAGGAATTTGTTGATTGTATTTGTCTGTCGGAGAAGACAAGAGTCTGAACGTCAGCTGTGGCAATAAGGAATATCTGGAACACTGGAGATGCTGGACTGATTCCACTTTAAAACTTAACTGTTTGTTAGTCCTCGTGCTTTCAGCTTTTTGAGACAGGTCCTCGTTTTTATGCTGAGTCATTGTTATCTAGCCCATGATCTCATACAGGAAATGCCCTGACAGGACTCCTCCCATTCATAAGCTGTACGGAAACACAGTTTGTGACTGTTTTTCTCTGAGGTGAGAGGCCCAGGAAAGGATTTAAGGATTCAGACCCAGCACTTTCTCTAAGAGGGAACAGATTCAGCAAGAAGAGCTGGGGACACTGCGTGGGATACTGACATATTGCTGTTTCGGTGCAGTGCTGACTGGCTTGACTGAGGTGTGATTTAATGTGAAAGTAACTACGACTTTGCCTCTGAGACAGAACATGGCCCTGCGATCAGCAGCTGACTTTTCCTGTCCCATCTGTTTTGAGATTTTCAAAAACCCTGTTGTGCTCTCGTGCAGTCACAGCTTCTGCAAAGACTGTTTGCAGATCTGGTGGACGGACAAAGTGATTCTCCAATGTCCAGTTTGCAAAAGAAGATCTTCAAAGAGTGAGCCGCCATCTAACCTGGCGTTGAAAAACCTGTGTGAAGCCTTGTTACAGGAACTTTCTCTGGAAGAGAGCACCTCTGCTGGGACTGAGGCTCTCTGCAACCTGCACTCTGAGAAACTAAAGCTCTTCTGTTTGGACCATCAGCAGCCCGTGTGTGTCGTCTGTCGTGACTCAAGAACACACACCAATCACAGTTTCAGACCAACCGATGAAGCTGCACAGGATAACAGGGAACAGCTCATGACATCCTTGAAGCCCTTACAGGACAAACTGGAGCGCTTGAGTCAAGTTAAAGTTAACTGGGATCTAACCGTGGAGGAAATTAAGGCCCAGGGCCGACAAACAGAGAAGAGGATCAAAGATGTGTTTAAGAAGCTTCGGGATTTTTTACAAAAAGAAGAAGAAGCCAGGATGACGGCACTGAGGAAGGAGGAGGAGCAGAAGAGTCAAGTGATCGAGCAGAGGATTGAGGCTCTGAGCAGAGAGATAGCAGCTCTTTCAGAAACTATCAGATCCACAGAGAAGGAACTGAAAAAGTCAGACGTCTCATTCCTGCAGCACTACAATGCCACAGTGGAAAGAATCAAGCAGCGCCATCTGCCGGAAGATCCAAAGCTGGCCTCTGGAGTTTTGATAGACATGCCAAAACATGTGGGCAACCTCACCTATAGCATATGGAACAAGATGAAGGACATGGTCTCCTACACTCCTGTGATTCTGGACCCAAACACAGCTCAGATAAACCTTTTCCTAAGTGAAGATCTGAGAAGTGTAGGATGTATAGAGAGGGAGAGTCGGCTTCCGAAAAACCCAGAGAGGTTTGATAGTTACACCACAGTCCTGGGATCTGAGGGCTTTCACTCGGGGACTCACAGCTGGGATGTTCAAGTTACAAATGATGCCAACTGGGCAGTGGGTGTGATAGAGGAGTCTGTCGAGAGGCAGGGAGATATTCCAACTGGTTACTGGGAAATATGGTTCCAGAATGGCAAGCACAAAGCGTACTCTCCACCACACATTGACCGAACACTCTCAGTGAAGAACCCGATTCAGAGGATCAGGGTGCATCTGGACTGGGACAGAGGAAAGCTGTCATTCTTTGACCTGGATACAAACACAAACCTTTTCACCTTCTCACGGACATTCACCAAGACGCTGGTTCCCTTCATTAACACCACTTCAGTATTTCCAGTGAGGGTACTACCAATGAGACTCAGTGTACAGTTTGAGACGTAGACAGTTATACCAGTGGTATTTATGAAGACAATCTCATCTAATTTTTTAAGTAAGTAATCCCCTTATTCCCAATGTTTCTAATACCAGATATCTGCATGTGATCTCGCCGTCATCTTCCTTTGTTCGAAGAAAGAATGTTTTTGTGGTGAGAGAGTCACTTAACTGGTTTTACTAAAGGCAGACTTGTTGTCCATCAAATCAGCCTGTGAGTATGGAGGCATATTAGTGGTAAAACGATATATGGACAGGGATCAATCTGCAAGATGAAAATGTGAGATTTGATGATTTTGATATGATTGAATCCCCCTTAAGTCCTGTTCAATACGTGTTCACTAGAAGGTTTGGTCAGTTTGTTATAGAAATGCAATCCTGATGATATTGAATTAAAATTAATTAAAAAGACAAAATGCAAATTGTAATTCACAAATTACTCTGTTTGTAATGTTGCCAGTTAAATTAATGGTCTGCATTTAAATAATATGTATTTATATAAATATCAATTGTGATTATGACTAATAACAATGTCTTAAAAAATGTAATTTAATACCAACTGGACTTTTGATTTCAAGATTCAGCTCACAAATCATGTTTCGGAATTCCTGTTCGATCTCAGAGCCCTTTTGATTCTCAAATTTTAGTTTGGATGAAGCTTCAGCTTTGTGTTGTCATTAATAAACTTCCATACGAAGCTTATGTGGTTAAGTTAATGTGAACAAACAGTAGGCTGCTTCAGACATGCACTGAACAGACAGATGCAAAAATGAAAAGAACTAAAGGAAAACAAATATCTCCAGGGGATAAAGACGTGCCACACACGTAGAAGACACTGGCAAAGATGTCAAGAGAGTTTATGGTCACTTTATCGCTGCAGCTGAGTTAATATGTCACTTCCTGTCTCTGTCTGCTGCACCCGGCTGCTCCACCTCTCGCTTGAATAACGCAAAGGATTTGCTGGTGTCCTCCGGGTTTTACCTAGAGGTCATGTCTAAAAAAGGCTTTAGGTTGTTTCATCAGAGATCTCCTTCTGTGGTATATCTATCACAAGATTGTTTTCACCAGGGGCCTTGGAGCTGTGCAGTGTTTCAATTGAAAGTAACATAGTAGTGGATGAGATGTCCCGCAGGTTCCTGGCTGTAATCACTGGCATACATTATGGTGTCTGTCTAGAAAACAAAAGTGGAAAGTTGGAATGTTGCACATTTCAATAAATGGGAAAAAAAAAACTAATCACGTGAAAGACAATGTATACTTACTTTGTGGGGAGTTGCTTGCAGTGCCAAAAAACACAAGTCTTGGGTGAATGTGATGTTCTTCAGGGGAGTTGGGACTCCAACAAGCAGCTTTCAGAAGACCACATTCTGACAGAGACGGCATGCAGATCGCTAAGAGGCTGAAACCTCAATCAGAAGAAAAATTAGTGAAATCAAATAAATTGTTTCAGTGTCAGTTTGTCTCAAAGAACCATCACAGAGCTAACTAATGATCTGATTTACATTAGCAAGTTGCTGTGGCTAAAACCCGCTGTGAGTAGCATCATCATCATCATCACCACCAGCATCAGACATCTTGTTAAAGAGAAGCAGTTGTAGAGAAGTTCCTGTGATTCCATAATACTGGGCACAAATCTAACATTTCCCAATGTGAATGAAAATACCTGTGGTAGGCTGTTCACGCTGTGTTCACAAGAATTAAGTCTGTTTTGTTTTGTTGGTTTCCTGCAGAACTGAACTCTGGGTGGATGCTGGACTGCTCAGGGATTCGGGCTCTTCACTGTGGTGCACCCTGTATTCTTTTTCAGCTGGAGGTGATGGTGTCGCCGGTTTATGACCTTTGTATTAAAGGACATCGTGCTTCACTGACTCTCATTTGTACAAGATGTGTTTAAGTTCTGTGTTTAAGTTCTGTGTTCCTTGCTTTGTTTTATCTCCTCAAATCTGAAGGACTTTATACTCAGGCCCAAGTTGCACTGTCTCTGCTTGCACGTAATCGCTCACTCCCAAAACTAATCAGGGTTTAATTCTGATAAATGTTTTTTACGTCAGGTTGTGTATATGATGTTTGTCTTGTATTTTAGAGTAAGTCTAACTGTGTAAGATTGGGATTTCATTTTTTTTGCCACGTTATAGCAATTAACTATGAACTATCTGTTATATATATACAGATATCTCATTGTTAGTGATGCCTTCACGAGCATAATGTGGCTAATGCAATTTGTGTGTTGAACCTGTACAATGGTAAACATACAACAGATCTCTCACCATGCTCCCGTCTCATGATGTGTAATATGACAACTTTTATGTTTTCATTCAGTGACCACATGTGTGAAGATTAAGTCTGCTCATTTTCCCGGGCACACAAAAATAAAATCCCTCCCTCGGTTTTCACTGGGATGTAAAGAATACGATTGTGCAGCTGCAGCATTCTCTCCACCAGGCAGGGCAAAGAGAGATAAACAGTAACTGTGTGATTTGCCAATTTTCAATTCGCCCCATTCAACATGTGCTTCCATGTGTGTCACTGTTTCTACGTGACGATATTGAAACAGAGTTATTTGATACTAAGTTGTTTATTTGTACGTAATAGTTCTCAGACTATGGACCTGCTGGACAGTCCATGTTTTTTTTTTTCACTCTGAGACAATATGTCATTATGTTAGAATTGTGTCCATCACCATCATGCTTTCATTTTGGTTGCTGTATTTGACAAAAGAGACTCGTGAAACGATCATGTGTCTTATTAAGAGGTGTTTTGTGTCAACAGATCCTGTTTTGTTGTATTTGATGAGGCACACACATTAATACGTTTTTTTTGTTTTGTCTCTGCTGCTGAAATATTCTGGTTTACAAGTTGATTGTGGACATCTTGGTTAACTTCCCTATTTTGGCTTCATTTGTCGAACACTGGGCTGGAGGTTGATATGTCACCATCCAGACAAATCAAACCTAAACTAGCTGCATGGCTACATGCCACTAGAAGTAATTTGGAATTCGTGCTTTTGTAATTTGGGGGAATGGACCTTTTGAAAAAATGAAAAAACTGCAGAATCAAATTGTCTGATTTTGCCAAAAACTCTATTGAGTGGTCATATTAAATCCTATTCCCCAGATTTTATAAATTTGATATCATGCAAGTGTCCTGATATTATAAACTAAGCTGTATAATCTACTTCCCCAGATATTTTGCAATTATAGCTTGCTGATTAACTCACTGTTCTTGCTGACAGGTTGTTCAATCATTCAATCATAAAATGGTCAATCTTTCCATTTATTTGTTTTCTGCCTGTTGCAGCACTTTTCTTGTGATATTTCAGCAGTTTTTGAACAAGCATGATTATTTACACTTTTACTTCAGTAATAGTGAAAGTAAAAGTGTTTATAAGTGTCAATACTTTTTTTCACAGGTCTCATGGAGAACCTGATGCCATGAAGCATCCCTGAATGATTCTGGGACTTAAAGTGGTTCAGAGTCTTGTGCGGAGTCGGGGTCACTGGACCACTCTGCTGCTTTGAAACTATAACATGAACCTTGTGGAAAGACGGTACATTTAATCCGGGTAATGTGAAGTAGGTTTGTCATGGAGAGAAGAGCTCAGGATGTTGGAGATTCTTGGAAGGAAGTGGTGAGCACACGTGAAGTGAAGGGGTCGAGAAAAAGAAATGGTGTCTTGTCCAAAATGACAATGATTACTTTATTTGATCGTTTTTTTCCACTTTGATGTGTTTTGCAAATGTACAGTGTTTGTTCGAAAGTGTGTCACAAATAAGGAATGCAATATTCGATGCTGTTTGTGCGTCTTTGAAAATGAATAAACATGAGACCTTTTTGCAAACCTGTCTGTTATCACTAGCTGACTGATGAGATGGAGTTCGGGTAAGAGGGATAAGGACATGGTTAGCCTAGCTGAGCATAAAGACTGCAAACAGTGGGACAGCTAACCTGACTCTATCCAAAGATAAGACCAACAATACTACTAAAACACAGTGCGTTTCTTTGTTGTGACTCACCGATTGGTGTTTCAATCCCAGTCTCCTCCAGTCTGCTTGCCGAAATGTCCTTGAGTAAGATACTCAACGCAAAATTGCCCCAGGCGGCTGTGCTGACAGTGTGTGACTGATGTGTAACAGAGAAAGTGCTGCACATAGATGCACTGTATGTGTGTGTGAATGGGTGAAAGGTAAAAACTGTATTGTAAAGTGCTTTGAGGGGTCATCAAGAGTAGAATAGTCCATACAAATACAGAGCATTTGCCATTTGTTGAACTCATTTAGGCTGAATTACCTGCTGGACATGTTGAACTTTTCTTTTAAAACCACAGAACTGGACAAATTGTGTTGGATATGTTCAAAAGCTCAAAAATACACCTCCTGATATCTCTCCAGCCCTGTGAATAACACAAAGAGACAAAATGGGTTTGCATCTTTCGGAGGCTTCATTTGGAAACCGTGTGGTGCGAATAGACGTTCCCATTTTGAAGACTCCTTCAAATATGTCCCTCAATCCACAAGAAACAAAGGCTCCAACAAGTGGATCCCTCCTGGCCCAACCTATCCCAGAATTCATTGTGCCTCAGTGGCGAACTGTTTTTCGAAGAGGTAATGGTGCCAGCAAGCGATGAATATCATGCTTCAACTCAACCAAACAGCTAGAGGTGCACATAGAAAAGAAAAGGGAGCGTTTAAACTTTCTGTTTGTGTCCAACTTCAGTTCTGTTGCTAGGCGACAGAAATAAGGGCAGGACAAGATGGTGATGCAGATCACAAAAAGCCTCTGTGGACCAGACTTTCTAATTTAGGTTCGGCAGCCTAGTAGACTCACAAAGTAGCTCCTCAGTTGAAACAGTCACAGGTTGCCAGGTTGGGTACCATTCCGTCAGAAAACAACCTTAACATAAATTAGTCTTATTGCAACAAGGTAGAGGTGCTTGTTGGATGGACACAACAAGTAGATCCAGCATGTAACTCACCTAAAACCATTTTTATTTAGTTTTAGAGGAATGGCATGTGCATTTTTAAACTTGGAGTGAATGTGTATCGGTTTCCAGTCTCGCTCTGCTAAGCTAGATGTACCTAACATACATTCATGGGATTTGATATTGCCCTAAAAATCTCCCTCAGGAAGAAAGAAATTCCGTGAATGAAATAAATGAGAAGAAGAAATGAATTATCTGGTGTAGAACTGTGAAACTCGCTGGCATGTTTGCGTGGCTGAAAACTGGCTTAGCACTGTTGATGGAGGAATGTGAGCGTTGTGAGCAGTCAGTGTCAAAGGCTGCTACAGAAAGTGGGCTAGCAGGGGATGGAGATACAGCAGGATCATGTTGCAGAGCTGTAACTGTACACACAGGCATTTAAACCCATGTTTGTCTGAAACGCATTCCATAACAACCAGAACTGTAACACACACACACACACACACACACACACACACACACACACACACACACACACACACACACTTTCATCTGAGCTGTAGATCTAAATCCTCAGTCATCATTGTGAAACCCTGGAACCTTCTTATGCCCCAAATGACCAGTTACTAAAATATGATGAGACGTAATAAACATTGAATTTCTCAAAGTTCAATATTCAATTCCATTCAGTTTTATTTGTATAGCGCCAAATCATACTATACATTATCTCAAGGCACTTTACAAAGAAGGTCAAGACCTTAAAATCGTATTAATATAGAGAAACCCAACAGTTCCCACAGTGAGCAAGCATATTGGCGACTGTGGAGAGGAAATATCATACCACAGGGACAATTCCAAGAGCCCAGCACAGACAGGGAGCACTACTCATCAGCTAGTTAATGTATTTAAAATGATTCCATTTATTAACAAGTTAGAAATGAAATAAACGTGTGTGTCGCAGTTGTCTGCTGTTCACACTGGCAGCGTGGCTCATGGAGCTCTGGGTGTTTTAGTCTCCACAATAACCTTTGTGTCATCAATCCATGACCAGTGGTCTCTTTGGATCTTGATATTGATATTGAAGCTTCACTCCAGTTTAGCATCTCTTTTTAAACGCAGGTATACACACTTTTTCTAACATAGGACTAACAGTGTTGTCAGTCTATGATACCAACGTGTGTGAGAGAGCTCCAGCAGAGAACACATCAGCATCAGAGCAGTGATTGGTCCGTCATGTGTCAGTGTTTACACTGTAGGCCCTACTGTGACACCCCCCCCTCACCTTTGACCTCAAGATCGAAGCTGCTGGTGGATGCATGTGGATTTGATGTGGTGTGCACGCGGCCTGGTGGCCGTCTACCTGCACATCACAGCCTCTCAGCGTCCTGCCCGGCACAGGGGATTCAAACAGGTCCCAGTGATGTTCACGTGTCATTGCAAACATACTGTACTGTGCAAAAATCCATGACCAACAATAAAGCCATTAAATACAATTTTTTAAAAAGAATGCCTTAAATATTACAGGAGTCAGACTATGTAAAATATAATCAATACCTCCTAATTAAATTAAAACCATAAACTGGTGTGTGGTGACACACCAGTTT